GCCAATACGGTAATCGGAATACGATATTTTCGACGATACAATTTACTAGTTTGAAATTTTCATATGTAATGTTAAAAACAGTACAGAAAGTTTTGATTTTAGATTGACTCTCATACTCTGCTTGCTGAATCTTTTATTACCCAGGGTAAACTGATGGATGGGAAGGTGATCGACTCCTCACTGTCCCGGGACCCTCTTGTTGTGGAGCTGGGGAAGAGGACGGTTATTCCTGGTAACTTTTCAAATATTGATATAACAGTTTTTTTGCAGAAAATTTAAAACTTTTTTTTTCTCTCATCATCAGTGTTTTGGAATATTGTTCACAGGTCTGGAGCAAAGCTTGATTGGTGTTTGTGAAGGGTAAGATGTACTGGCAAAAAGAAAAAGAGCTTGCATTTTTCAAAAGCTGATATAACGCTGTACGAATGAATTTATAGAAGTAGATGTGCTTTCTTGTTTTTAGGCAAAAAATAAAAGCCACCATTCCTCCTCACCTTGCTTATGGAAAAAAAGGATACCCTCCTACTATTCCAGGTACACAGCTTAGGGACTCAGACTACATTTGATAAAAGAAAACCTTCAAATTGAAATAGCTTTTAAAACTCTTCCATCTGTTGCAGGTGATGCTGTTCTTGAATTCGAGGTGGAGGTGATTTCTCTGTCACCACAGACGCAGTGGCAGAAGATCATCAATGACGTGTTCCCCTTGGTGTGTTTGGCCCTGGTGCCGACTCTGCTCGGCCTGGTGGGGCTTTACCTTTACAAAAAGTCCACAGCCGAGAAGCCCAGCAAAAAGAAGTCCAAAGATAAGAAGAGTAAGAAGAAATAAGGGCTAGGCAGATCATTTAATTTAAATAAACTTTTTCAAAGACTCTGTTTTTGTCTCTTTAATACAAAACAGCCTTTTGTAAGTGTTTTGACACAAAGAAATACAATTTTTGAAAGTACCTATACCCGCCTTTTTTTTTAAAGTAGCCTTGATTTCTTTTGTATGTTACTCAGTGCCTTAGATTTAAATGACACCGTTACATGATTTAGATTCCTTAACACAAAGAACTTCAGGGGACAACTTTATTTTTTAAAAGTTTTATAACAATCAATTTGGATTTAACACATGATCTACTTTTGTTTATATTAAAAAGCCTATGAGGCAAGGTAAGGCAAATTTATTTGTATAGCACAATTCATTACAGAGACAATGCAAACTGCTTTACATGATTAAAATGTAGGAAAATAAAACAGAATCAAAGCAAGTAGGAAAAAATGAAATAAAAAAATTTAATAAAAAATGCAGAAATGAAAAAGAATATTAAAAACATGAGGAGAAATGTTAACATACTGTATAGCTGCAGTGTTTTAAACCAATGCTGACAAATCACTGTGATTTTTAGGGTGTAAAGAAATTAGACTTTTTTTTTATTATTTATCTCCATTTCACATGACTACAAACAGTGCAGTGCTGTGAAAATATATTTGCATCCTTACAGATTTCTTTTTTTTTTTTATCACCTAACAAGAGATTTTAATTTATGAAGGGACAAAATGTATTTAACCAAACTGCTGTTATGTGAAAATGTTATTGGTTTACCTGTTAAATTCTAAAATTAAGTGTGATTACCCCTATTTTTTTAATTAGTCTGACAGCAGTAGAAGAAATTATTCAAATAGAACTAAATAAACTGTGTCTGTTGCTTAGCGTTAGCACCAATTTGGCTACCTTTATAATACCTACATTCTTAAACAAAACAAACAAAAAAACGTTTAAACAAAATATTCAAGAAATTTATAAAAAGCAGCAATAACCAGGTTGCATAAGGGTGCATACCCTGTCTGAGAAGAATTTCCTGACCTGCTGATCATATTGCTAAAAGCAGAGTTTGAAAAGAGGTTTAAAGGATTGAATTAATCTCACTAGACAAAAAGTAACAAGTCAGGACGAAGATACATCGATGCCTGAGAGTCCATAGCATTATATTATTATTTATTCTTGCACAGCAATGGCAGTCGTCAGGTAATTGGTTGATCATTAGTCTAAAAAGACTAAATAGTTGGTGTTAATGCGAACTAGAGAAGCAGAATGCTCCCATTCTTCTAATAAGACTAGTTTCCAAATGTCTCAACTATGAGAAAGGGTTGTAAATATACTTTTTGCTTGTATTAAATGTTGATCTAACTTAAAAACATGTTTTACATTATTATTTGCATTGTTTTTAGTATGAGTAATATAATGTTTATATTTCTGGAATTTGTATTTATATAATATTGTTATAGTATTATTTTATTCATCTTTTTATTGCAACACCATACCTATGGTGAAGCATGGTAGTGGCAGCACCACACTCTGGGCTTACTGCTCTTTGGTTGGAATGTTTTTTTTTATTATTGTTGTTTTTCTAGAACCTTTTCTAAATCCTTTAGGAACATTTTTTTTTAGCCTCAGTTCATTTTTTTTTTAACTCACGGAGTTCTGGTACTTAGCTCAGGAATCACATAGAAGTTTTTGCTAAGAGATTCAACCAGAGAAACAGACATGATCAAATTGAACCAATACGTGCTTTAACTAAGGTCCAGTTCAAGGGTGTGCATGATAATTTAGCCGTGTTGTGGCTTTTTTTTTTTTTTTTTTACCTTTTTCCTGTAAAACATCTTCAGTTTTTCTGTTCAGCATATATTTATTATTAAATTATGAAAAAAAAAAACCTTTTGAATACTTTATCAATCTATTTTCTCTATCACTAAACTTGGCATTTGGAAATGGGTGGATGCACTTGTAGAAATCCTCTGTAAATCTCCTGCATTACAGTCAGATCAATATTGAGTCATTCTGTGTGCACTGGCTCTAATCGGGGCAGAGTTTAAATCTAGAAATTTATAAATGTAGGGAATCCAGAAACACATCTGAAAATATGGCCAACGTTTTTATTCAACGGAAACAAAGCTGCACATCTGACCCTAAGGAGAAACCAAAGCTTCCTGTAGTCTATTCCTTATTCAATGCAATTCAATTATACCTTATTATTATTTTTGATAAACAACACAATTGCAAAGGCTTGGTTCAAACAAATCATCACCCAATATCCTGTTGTTATTATACTGCTGAAAAAATATAGGTAATTTAGCAAAAGACTGAAAAGAGGTTGTTAAACTAAAATATGTTAAAGTCAAAACAGTCTACTTTACAAGAGGAATGTCCTGTGTAACATTGGAGTTATTAGAATCTTAAATTTATGAGCTTCAATATTATAATTTCTTAATGTTTCTGGTACTATGTGGAAATTCTTTATAGCCTTTAAAACCTATAGTATTCCTTCTAAAAGTAACCACACCTCATGAAGCCTTTTCACATTTAGTTAAAATAAATCACAAACTTAATGGTACGTAATTCCTTGTTTTTTATAAGGAAGAAAGATACACAGGAATACTTTTTTCCCCCCCCCTAAAAATAAAAGTGTGGCATGGATTTATATTTTGCCCCCTCATTCTGATAAACATAATACTGCCTTGGGTAATTTTTGACTGTTAGTAATGGACTCAGAGGTTTTTTAGTGGTCCAGAAAGGACAGGGAAGGCCCTCAAAATAAAAAAAGAGCATTGTAGAAGCATGCAACATAGAGAAACAATGTTATAAATATATTTACCTCCTCAGGTTTGTGTCATGCTCATGTGAATGATTTGATGATTTGATTCAGGTGTGTTAAACAAGTTTGAACCAATATATACAGAATCAAAAGGGACTGAAGGATGAGACGTCTGGTTTAGATAAAAACATATACAATTAAATCAAATTTTCAAGGTGTACAAACATTTAATTTGTTTAAAAATGTCAAGAAAAATTTAAATCTTGATTGTGCGGCAGTTGGAGATTATTAGTTTGCAACAAAAAGACATTTTACATGTAAAATTGTGGTGAAGTAAAATGCATTATGCAAGACACTGGCAAAAATAAAACACAAAATATGCAATATATTTTTTATGGCCTATAGAAAGATTCGGCTGTATTAGGTAAAGAGCTAAAGTTTAACTATTGTTTCATTTTAGAATTACTATATCTATTTCTAAATTGGATATTGCTATTTTGAATAGTGTTACCCTCTCAAAATACTAGCCTAAGTCATTTTTATTTATTTATTTGTTGTAGACACAACAATAGTGAATAAAGTGATTATAGCAATTTAATGATTTAATTAAAAAAAAACTTGGAAATGCAGGATCTCCCCAGTTGGTTATTAGGACAATTTGAAAAGTGGACAGCATCAAGAGTATATACAGTTCCAGACAGGGGTCAACAGAGGGCAGTGTCATTTTAGAATTTGTCTTGGCTGCTGTTATGGCCCCTGTACTAAAAACATAACATTAATCCATCTTCTTCTGATAAAACATGCTGGCACATAGACCATAACTGAATGGTTGCTGGGACCAATTTCCAGCTTTTATGGTCATTACACTTTCACAAGTAGAGAGCAATAAAATGAACTCTCTGCATTTAACCCATCCACTTGAGGAGCAGTGGGCTGCCGTCGTGCGGCGCCCGGAGAGCACTGTGGGGGTTAAGGTTTTGCTCAGAGTGGCAGTGACTTTTTTTTTTTTTTAAGGCTGCCAGCCATTGTGCGGTGCCAGAAGAGCAGTCTGGTGTTAAGGGCCTGGCTTAAGGACCTTAAGTGGCAACCTGTAGTTGCTCGAATTCAGAACCTCAGGATTCCAAGGTCTATGCACTAACCACTAGGCCGCCTCCTCCTCAGATTAGTTTTGTTTCATATCATTTTGGGCCCCAATAAAAACTCCCCCTGTCCCCTGGTCAATTTGATCTAAGTCCGCCACTGGACACCAGGAGGCGATTTAAGCACAAATATCATTATTATAAAACTTACAATTTTTTTTTTTTAATATTCATTTATTTATTGGAATGTGGTAGAAAGTGGTTACAGAGAAAAGCCCTGTTAAAATGTGAATAAAGTAAAAGATGTCCTCTCTGGTGAAGCAGTTAGAGGGCGGAGCGGACGGGTTTTTGTGTCGCTGCTGCCTCTTCCGGTCCTCTTTCCAGCTTCCCGTGCAACATGGTGAGTGTGTGCTGCCGACCGCGGCATTTCATCGACTTAATAAACTCAGACTTTGGTCGAGTTCCCTAGCAATTTTAATACATTTGAGTATTTCCAAACACGACACGAACACAGAACGCGAGAACTAGGTGTTAAATATCTATTATGACGAGTATTAAACGAGTCGAGGCCTAATGCTAACCGTTAGCAGGCTAGCCGTTTCTTGCATGTGTTCTTTGAGCAGGCTAACGATAAGGCTAACGTAAACTGAGACAGGGCATAGGAATATTATGTGATTTATTTTAAGAGCGGCATTTGGATGAAACGGCATGTGAAATGAACAGTTTATTTGTTCCTGATGGTTTTAAACGTAGTTGAGCTAATCTGCTAACTATCCGATTCCTTTTTTCTGCCATACAGTCTGCTTTAAATTCAAGTCACTTCTATTATAGGGCTTTGAGAATGAACTCGTATTTCTGGATGAAATTTTGCTTTTCTAAATGTTAAATTTACTTGAATTTGATTTTGATGTTGAAAGGGATAACATAACGATTTACTACATACATTTTAAATGCACTGCTTTCTTTCCAGTTGGTTAAATTAGCTGTTAGTGTTTAGCTGATGGAGTAGAGAATCCTTCCTTTTGCAATACAAATGGAATAGATATTTGACTTTATTTGACTGACACGTTTAAAAAGACTAAATTTAAAAAGCTGAAATTTAGTGGTAAAATTGTCTCTAGCTCACATTGAATCCTGTGATGTTGCCTGCTAATACTTCCAAAACTTCATAGAAAAAATGGTATTCTAAATGGTCATGTGGCTTTATTATTGTAAGCAGGGCTGGTATTGGAAAACATCTTTAGTAATTAAGACTTTTTTTCTATTTTTTATCATTTGCTTGAGAATTTGATTCCTTTGTAAAATCATGTCATATAAACAACGTTGAAAATGTTAAGATCTTAGTATGTTATGCAGGAAAGCTGCTGATAGAAGCTCATAAATTATCAAGTCGGAATGAGAAACATGTTAAACATTTCATTTTTTATTTATATTTCACAGACCAAGAAAAGGAGAAACAACGGTCGTGCCAAGAAGGGCCGCGGACATGTGCAGCCCATCCGCTGCACCAACTGCGCCCGCTGCGTCCCCAAGGACAAGGCCATTAAGAAGTTTGTCATCAGGAACATAGTGGAGGCAGCGGCTGTGAGAGACATATCAGACGCCAGTGTCTTTGACTGTACGTTTCAGCTACATCAGACATAAAATAGCTAATCTGTAATATGAGGTAGCTTTCAGGTTTAATTTGATCACATTTAAAGCTCAGATATGTTGCCTTTCACATGTTGGTTGTATATAAATGCTGGAGATGCTATCAATGGCTACTTTTAAATTAGGATTAGAGGATGCTGATTTATCAGTCTTCATATTTGTTTTATTTATTTTTTTCTCTCTGCAGCATATGTTCTGCCTAAGCTCTATGTGAAGCTGCACTATTGTGTTAGCTGTGCCATCCACAGCAAAGTAGTGAGGAACCGCTCCTGTGAAGCCAGGAAGGATCGTACCCCACCTCCAAGATTCAGGCCCGCTGTGAGTGTTGTACCGATTTTGTCTGGCTGGGTTATAGAACGAGCTAATTAAAAGTTTTGCATAAAATGAGCTGAACCAATATGCCAAGAAAGAGTAACAAGATTTAAGTAGAGTTGTATATTAACTACATTTTTGTTTTTCTTTACAGGCTGGTGCACCAAGAGCTCCTCCAAAGCCGATGTAAAGCGCAATCTGAAGATGCTGTGTACCTGAAAAGAAAATTAAAACATCTTTACAAAACATAAATGGGTTAAGCCGTTTTATTTTTGTAGGAAACACAAATGAATCAGCTTTTGTTTAGGGTAGATTCCTACAGTACAAAACGTACAGCAAGTTTAATATGACTTAAGCAAATGCAAAAGTACACATGATACATTAAAAAAGCTGTAGTTAAAGCAGTATTGAGATAAAAATTACATTAAAGCAGACATTTAGGGAAGCGTCACAAAGATCACGATAGTATAGGAAATTGACGTTCATAACTTATTTTTTGTTTATTTAAAAAGGATTTGTATTGGCTCAGGTGCAATGGCTTTGGTACAACATACAGGACTGATTTAACCATGTGATAAAATTGAGGTAAATGCATTAAAGGACAGACATTTTAGGAGCCATCATACCATTAATTTTGATTAAATCTTCGACAACTTGGTCAGCTGTGTACAAACAAACCGTTTCTAAAAGGCTGGCAAAAAGAAAAAAGCTAATGACTAAATTAAAGGCACAACACAATTCTTAAATGCTAAGGGTGATAAAAGCTTTTTCCTCTTACAACCAATTAAGACAAATGTTTTGCCATTCTTGGTAATGATGTCCCCAAGTGTTCAAATAGGTTACAGGAGACCAAAACCTAAGTAAACATCTCAATTAGTCTGAGGGGGTCATTCATTTCCTCTGTAAAATTTAGAATTTTAAATATTAAAGTGCAATGTGACTCAAGTCTACTTGAGAAAATGTGCTTGGATATTAAAATTGTCCTTAGAGCTGAAATGAGGTATATATTAAAATCACACCATTTGAAAGGACATCCACAGAATAAAGTGGACATAAGGATCATTTCCAAAATCCTTTAACAGCAAACAGCTTTTCTAACCCCCAAATGTACAAATATCTGATATCCTGCCACTACTACCAAGAAAAGTGCTTTACAGTAGCAAACAAGTGGTTCTTTGGCCCAGCTATTAGAATATTTGGTGCTGCAATGAACCACAATTATACCAAATAAACATGCCTAAAACTGTTTTCAAACATCTTATGCTTCGGAAACTTTCCATCTAAACCATTTTTAAAACTATAAGAATCAAATGAGACAACGAACCATTCACAACACAGGTACAACCACTTAATTTAGAGCCTATGGTGGCCGAACGGGTTCAATTTAGTTCTCAGTAAAATAATCATTTGAAGTTGAGTAAAAAGACTAACAAAGTGGAAAATCTGTAATCGAATCACAAAACTTGTGCTCGAGGTCAACTGATTATTTCAACTTGTCTATTTTGAAGCAAAGAATTTTTATTGATGCAGTGGATAATCATTTCAATTAAGTCCAAGATTCAAACTGTCTCCAGGACAAAAAAAATGTTTATGATCAATAGGCAATAGATTAATTAAATATCAAAACAAAAGTTAAATTCCTCGTTTATCTTTCGTTTTTGCTGAAATGGCCAAACTAGGAACAGTCCGGTCAACAACAAAACCATCAACTTTTCGTAACATCAGGTATAATTTTGTTTCCGATTAACACTTGCAGAAAAGCCACAAATAATTTTAAATGTATATTAATAAAAAAAAACAAAAAAACGAGTGCTTTAATTATTCTGTAACACTCTAAACTTCTCAAATCTTCCACACTGGAAGAGTTTCAAGACATGAAGTCTAGTAGCTTCAGATCAGGGAACAGATTAAAGGCACAATAAAATGACAGAGCATCAAATGCCTTTTAAATATATCATAAATAGATCTGTTATATATCGGTGTTGCAAAATACCTAAAGTTATTTTTCAGAGGGAAATTTTAATCTAAACCGTGGCAGTGTTATTTGAACCCCTCTTCTTGTAGTAGAGCTTTCTTTAGTGTTTCACCCTCACATTTTCTTCAGAGACATACAGATCAATGTATTTCTAAAAAATAATTTAATATAATCAGATTTCTGGCAGGTATCAGTGCAAACAAAACAGAAGAAAAACAGATTCATACACTGATAATGCAACAACAACACAAAAACAAGGGCCTTCATTATCCACTTTCACAACAAAACAAACGGCCCCTCGACTTCTTTCTCACGCAAATACATACAAACATGGATCTCTTCATTTCACCTCTTGTAAAAACCAAAGTGCATTTCTAATTTAAGTACAGCCCCTTCTATCATTTCACTGTAGTTGATATGGACCTGGTTATTGAGCTTGATTAGTTTGTAAGAAGCGACTGAATGTACAGGATTAATCAAACATTGGAGAATTGTTAAAGCACTTCCCATTTTTCCAAAAAAAAACTTTAAATGAGGCATATTTGTCATTACAGATGTCATTAGACTTTCCTGTGTCACTTCTGGTAATGATTTGTCTACAACAAATTTGTGCATGCAGCTTGAATCCTGAAATTTGGTGCAAGGCACATTTGTGGATAAAAGAGGATTTTGTCTTTCTACACTTTGGAACACCCTCATTAACAATGCAATTATAGTTGCCCAAATACCTAGAGCCCCTTTTACCATTTTTGTGCCAGTATCTAAAACATTCAGGACCAACTTCTTGCTGTCAGTGACCACTTCAAGCTCAAGTGTGAAAGCTCTATGTGAAGAGGAGGTTGGATGGACTTCACCTTTAGTCAATAATGTGCTCTCCACGAACAATGTGTGAGGAAAATTCGTATCTGTCCTGGCTCCGATAGCCGCAGATGTTGCACTCGAAAGGCTGACGAAAACCGTGGCAGCCCATGTGGATGGTAAACATGACATGGTCCAAGAAAAGCACACGGCAATGCTCGCAGCGGAACGACCGCACAGGCCGCCCTTCTGCGTCAACGACCCGGAAAGCCTCCCTTGAAGTAGAAGAAGGTGCTGTAGGTGAACTGGAAGTAGGAGCCAAGGCGGGAGGGGGAAGGCCTCGGTGTCCTCCATCTTCTCTTTCCATCTCCCGATCTTTGGCTCGGCTGGGACTGTGTCTGTCCAGACTCCTGTGGTGTGAGGGTGGAGGAGGTCTTGTGATATGGTTGCTGGAGTGAAGGAGCTGATGCCCATTGTTACTGGGTAATGGTGGAACGGGGGCTGTGCTGTTACCCGGCTCATCCGGCATGCTTTCTGTGTCTGTGGAGTCCTGGAAACCATTGCTAGGTGACGGTGCGTGACTTTGCCCGGATGGAAGGTCCTCATGACCCTCGGCTGCCTCTCTCCCCCCGACAACTACGGTTCCAAGCCCGGCTCCGGTGCAATCCAACCTTGTGCCCAAAGCAATTGAGGTGCGAGGAGAGCTGTGGCTCGGCCGGAGTTCTTTTAAAAAGGATGTTTGAGTGGTAGGAAGGTGTAGAGGCCTAATTGCATCCATTAGTCCCCCTCCGTTACCTGCTGTGTACTCTCCTCCGAGGCTGGTATAGTGAGGGACTTCCAGGTCTCCAGCTTGCATGTCTTCGCCTTTATCTAAACCAGCTGTCAGGTCATAAGATCCATCTGCAATGGTGAGGCGCATGTGCTTCTGTCCTGAAACACAAAAACACACAATCTTATGATGTACTCTGCAGCGCCATTAAATGAACGAATATTGAATCTTTCAATGGATTTTATGCAGTGCCTTGTAAAAGTATTTTCTATCCCTGCTCAACATATTCCACGTGTTACCTATCAAGGCCGTAAAAGACACTTATTTGGCTGGATCATGTGAAAAAAAAAAAAAAAAAACGCATTAATTTGCAGTGGAAGAAAGTGACACAGTTTTACTCAATGTCTCCAAAATAATATGTTAACACTCAACCAGAGTGGATCCTAGTAGAAACACCTTTGGCTGCAATAACATCTGCTAGTCGTTTTAAATGTAATTTTAGTCTCTCCCATTCTTTGCATAAAAGCTCAGTCTGATTGGATAGAGAGGATCTACATATTGATTTCTAGGTTTCCCCATGCATTTTAGAGTCTATTCAGGGTTCTAATCAGGGCATTTCCTTTGAGTCAGCACTACAAAAACTTAATATCAAACATGTTACAGGTTCTTGTGCGGTTGTTCAGGTGTGCATATCTAGGTTAATTTATGCTCTTCCTGAGCACTATAGTTTTCTCCCTGGACCCTGACGGTAACTACAATTACAATGTAATAAAATCCTGGTCAGAACCCTGGTTGTTGAACTTTTATTGGAAAATTCTAACAGAAAAAGATAAATTGCACTAAACATACAGCAGTCATCAAGTTGAGAGTGATCTACCCGGGTTGGTTGCAAAAAACAGATTCTAGATTGCTGCGTGAACCGAGATCTTCGGTTTTCCTCTAGCACAGTGGTGTATGTCCCTGTATGTCACGTGGCACATGTCATGTGGTTTGATGCCCCTACAGGTAATGCACTGTCATCCTATTCTACTTATCTTTTTGTGACATCTGACACAAATATCTTCCTTGTCAACTCTCAGCACAGCTGTGCTGCTGGTGGGCCGACAGGAGCTGCCAGTGTTATTTTTTCACAAGTCAAAACCAGTTTAAAATGTTTAGATGAAACTACACTCAGGTGACGTCAGGCTGAACAAATGCACGCCACACTCTTCAGATCTTTATGTGTATTAGGTTTTGAAAACAATGCTGCCATATTCTTCCACTTTGTAATTATTTGGTACCACATGTTGATGATTCGCAGAGTCTCATTATACTGGTTTTAAAGTGAAATAGCATTATGTATCGGATCTCAATCCTCAGCACCATAGCCATGTAGGCTACATGGCAGTTAGAAAAGACTGCTTGGTTGAAATATTTAGTGGGCAAATATTTTATGCAAATTATGCATGCCTTCTCTCCTTCGCCCTTTGATATAAACCTTACAATGCCTTTAATGCCCAAAGTTCAGAAATAACTTAAGTAGCTGAAATACCAACACTCTCACAGAGTAAACAGTTGACATTAAGAGAAACGAAAATTTAGGATAATCAATATGGTCATTACAGCACTGAGGAGTAGCTTTGCAGTTAAATATTTTCTTCATTTTGTGAAGCCCTGTTTTAAAGTGAACAAAACAAGAAAAACAAGAAAAACAAGAAAAGAAAGGA